GTTGGGGGTTCTGAAGCCCTACTCATTCAACACTCTCTATGTCCTTTTCCATCTTCTCAGGCGGCCCCTGAAGACTCTCTGTGGAGTGCAGTTTAAAACCCATCCTAGGTGGAGCACTGGCCAAAGCTTGCTGCTGCCCCGTCCTCGGGTCTGCTGGCTGTTGAGGACTGGCAGCATCTGCAGCCACGTGAGGTCAGAAACCAAGGGACTCACTCCTTACTCCTGTCATGTGGGGGTTTCGTGAACATTTACATGATCCTTTGCCCTAATATGTGCTTTGAATTGCCTGGAATAGAGAAGAGATGCAGGTTCTGGGCTACAATCAAGGGCAGGGGAATCCAAAACGATGGGCCAGGGTGGGGTGTGGAGGACAGGGAGATGCTAGTGGAGCAGATAATAGATATTTTCTCCTTGTGGCACATACAGGAGTGGCCACAGTTGAGTGGAGATAGAAGAAAATTAAATCAAGGAACCATTCAGAGTGAATGAAGGCCTCACAATTGCTTTTATCCCAGACGATCAAGGATACTATCATTAAATTCTGTTCACTAGGACATCTTTTACAAGGGCGGGCAAGAGCGGACTCTGGTCTGTTCTCCTCAGAGTGGGGGCCCAGCTCGGTAGGTGATATGTCATGCTGTTCAGATACCACTTCTTGCTGGCACTGACTCCCCATGGCCAAGTCTAAAATATTGAGGCAGCGTTGCAGGCTGGCGAGGAGACGGAGTCAGACCTGATCTGAATCTTGGCTCTGCCACTAATAATTTGCTTGACTTAATTCAGTGACTAATTCTTTCAGTTTCCTCTTCTACAAACGGGCAACAACACTGGTTTCTCCCTCACAGGATTGTTGTGAGGAATAAATGGGTTAATACATATAAAGCACTTAAAACAGCACATGGCATAGAGTGGCTAGTCAATAAATGTTAGTTTTATTATCATCAACATTATCATCATTTTCAGAGGTACTTAATTATAGCTTTGGATGTCCTAAAAGGTCAAGCAACCACTAAGAGTCTCCTCCCATGCTCCCATGTCTAGATAGGCTCAAAACCTAGTTTGCCTGATTATGGGCGATTCAATACTATACTTAAAAAAGACAGCATAATAAAGGCTTATCTCTCAGTCACGTCACAGTCTGTTTCAGCCGAGCGTGGGAGGTGGTTCTGCTCCCTGAAGTCACTCCCAGAGGCTCCAGCATTGCCTAGGAGTTTTAAGTTCTTCACTAGTTTTTGCATCCAGCCGAGAGGCAAGGGATGAGAGACAACTTAGAGGATCAGGCAGAATAAGGGTCACACTTGGAAGAGACTGATGTCACTTTTGTCCGCATTCTACTGGTCAGAACTGAAGTCACGTGGCCTGACCAGGAAGTGAAATCTAGCCTGGGCCTCAGGGGGAAAATGAGACTTTTAGGGAGTTCTGGGCCAGTCTTCACTGCACCTTTCAACATTTTTTATACTTAATTAAGATAGTGATAAAAATAATTTTATTATGGAAAATATTGAACAAAGACTAAAAGAACCTCCATTGAGATATCATCCAGCTTAGTTTTCATCTCATGACCAATCTTGTTTTATTTTACTTGCACCCAACACCCCCTTCCTCCCATATTATTTCAAAGCAAATCCCAAATATTACATCGTTAACCCTGTAACTATTTCAGCACAGAAGATGTCAAGCACTTGCTATGGGCTCGTCACTGTGCCTACATTAGGAATACAATGATAAGATAAAATGTTTGTCTTTAAAACGCTGTGGCTGTGTGAGGAGCTTATAGACCAAAGCTTATTGAGATAAGCTAGACCAAATCACAATGAGAAAACAGAACTCTTATTTGGGAAGACACATCCTCCAGCATGGGCTCAAATAAATATCCCAAGTGACCACAGTAATTAACAACCTGAGTTTCCCCTGACCTCCCTACCTCACCACTGGGTTTCCGCCAAGCATCTTTGCTCTTCTTGAGAAGCCGCTCCTCTGAGAGCTATTGTAGCACAGCAGCCCTGCACCTTGCAGGACAGGAGCCCCCTGTCAGTCCTAGAGTCTGATAATGGAGTGATTGCTGGCTCCTTCTGGCCCAATCAGCTCCTGGGACTTCTATTAAGCAATGACCTCAGGCTTTAAGTCTGTCTTTTCTTAGAGGTGGGAAAGATAAGTGGCCTCCAGGGGTTAAGAGGCAGAACCTTAATCAAAAAGGAACTGAGTGTTGACAGCTCTGCTGGCTCAAAGATCTCTCTCATCAGAGCCCAGGAACCTTAATGGGCCACTATCCTTGCCCCGGATGTCCTGCCACATATCACCACCTGCACACCAGTCATGCAGCCTGCCAGGCAGAGCCAGGAACACCATCTATGTCCTCTACCTCCTTCAGCTTTCCCCACCCAGCAGCAGCCTGGAGTGTGAAATTCAAATGCAAGTGGACTTGGAAATCACACAATTAGGTAAAACGCATATGTAATATCTGTATCTATAGATCTATCTCCAACTTCAGTCACAGGATATTCACCTGCATGGGGATGGTGGGTGATCTGGAGCACAGCAGGGTTATTGTTTCTGCTCAGAGGAGTGTCTTGTGAAGCACAGGAGGCAAACCCAGAGTTCCTTCTGCATGTAGGGGTTGGGCGGTAGCCTAAGCCGCCATTTATTATAATCTAGCACCTCTGGGTCAGTGCAGCAGGCTGAGCTGGGAACGGACACTCTGTTAGGACTCGCCTTCCCATGGAGGCAGGCAAGCGGGGGCCCAGAGGGAGGGCCCCTGCAGGTATCCGCGGGGCACAGGGGCAGTCTGCTCCCATCAACTCACTGAATCCTTATTTGTCTCCCTGCCCATCTATTTCCTGTTATGCAAGTTGGTTGAGAGTGAACAGAAAGAAGTCTGGGGTGCTAGTTCTAACATTTTTGAAGACTGGGGTGGGGGAACAAGGTTAATTAAAAACTATGGTTAGTAATAATTCACTCTTAGAGTGAGCCTGGAGGATGGAACTTTAAATCATCAAATACTCTAAGGATAAATGAAGTGTGACATAGTGTGGCTGTTCACTGCAGAAGAGCAAGACCGGATAGAGGCCAGGATAGATTTACGTGTCCGACATACCTGGGTTCGAGCCTTGGTTCTATTCAGCGACCTATCAGCCATTTGCCTGGCAGGCAATTGAACTCAGAGTTTGCTGGGCAGGACTAGACTGCAGCCGCAGCACAAAATGCTGTTGGTTGTAAATTCTTGGGTAATAATAAAACTTTTAAAGCGATTTATTGTAACTATTCATTTTATAATAGTTGAAGTCACATCTGAATACTATTTGGATGGCTCCCTGTGAGATTTCTTGAACACAGTCATTGTTATTTGGTTGCATACTTTACACATCAGTCCAGGGGGACCACGTCACCTCTTCTAATCCTCCACTGAATCATCTCAGTCAAGTTATTAGCCCCAGACAGATGCCTGGAGCCCTCTCCAATTTACCTCAGAATGCCAAACAAATATTAGAATTTTCTACGTGTGCTATCATGTGCAAACAATTGGAAAACACTAATTTAATCTCTGAATAATTTCCTCAAATGGAAGATGGGAAAAATAGTATATATCTCAGTGGATTTTGTGAGGATGAAATGAGTTAGAATATGGAAAGCACTTAGAATAGTGTGTGGAACATAGCAAATGAATAATAAATGCCAGTCATTATTTTTCTTTGTGAGATGTGGATAATACCACCTACTTCATATGGCTGATGTGAAGATTACACAGTGAGGTAAAGCATAGTAAAGGCTTGGTTCTACACCCGGCACACAGTAGGTCAGCAGATGCAAACCAGTGTTACTAGCCCTCTAACCAGTGCAAATGTACACAGCTTTTCAGGTCAGACTGTAACTTTCCAGTGCAGTTCGCATGTGCATGACCTCCGGTGAGACTGGGAACACTTTGAACTGAGTTCCTTCTCTTCAGGCCCTCCTCCAGTCTGGACTATAGGTGTCCAAAACATGGCTGGGGGGTGGTTTTGTAGAACTCTAAGCCTTTACAGAGTGATATTATGTCTGCTATTTTATTTAACTTCTCAAAACAACTTTAAGCTATTTCCACCTTAGAGGTAAGGAAACTGAGGCCTAGACAGATTACGTGGTTTGCCCGAGAGCAGCAGCTTTCAGACCTGGAAGCAGAGCCACGGCCCACTGACTCCAAACAGAGCATTTCCATCAGACCACGTTGCCACCCCAGGGCTGCTGCAGACGGTTGCACAGGGGAGCGCAATTCATGCCGTAGATGTTGCAGATTGGTATATTAATGAAGTACTTCCATGGCAGATGGCGGTAAGAGTTCTGTTATAGAAGTATATTAAAATCATTGTCTAAAGGAGCATTTTTATCCTATTTGTACAAAGGCACACTATAGAGACCCTACCACAGAAAAGCAAAATTTTCCCCTGATGATTAAAACAGTAATTTGGGATGCTGAGCCCCTTTGGATTATTGATTTGAGTCTAAAAGATAGACTTATATAGTGGCCAGCAAACTTTTTCTGGAATAGGCCAGACAGTAAACATGTCAGGCCTTGTGGGCCGTACACTTGCAACTACTCTGCTTTGCTGCCGTAGCCTGAGAGCAGCCGTAGACGATATGTAAGCGAACAAGTGTGGCTGTGTTCCAATAAAACTCTGCTTAGGGACAATGCAGTGGGTACAAACTTGCCAATGCTGACGTACAGAACTATGGTTATGTGAATTATCAATTAGAATTTTTTGAGAGAGCATTACCTCATTTAGATTGAACTTGTTAATAGGTGAGAAGCCAGAACTTGGAAATGGAACTGATTTCAAATCCCTTGTTCTTTAATCCTAACATACACCAGATGTTCTCATCTTGGCAAGTTGGTGACCCGCCAGTATGAAGCGATCAATTGGGAAGTATGTTTGCAAACAATCTGCAATGTGTGCGCATGTGTGCGTGTATTTATATACATTTTAATCCTCACTGAGGACATGCTCACTGATTTCAGAAAGGGGGGGGGGAGAGATGTGAGAAACACAGATCGATCACCTCCTTCCCATAGGCACTCTAACAGGGGATCAAACCTGCAACCTGGGTATGTATCCTGACTGGGGATTGAACCTGCAACCTTTTGGTGTATGGGGCCATGCTTTGACAAAATGAACCACCTGACCAGGGCAATTTTTATGGATATTACTTAAAAATAAATTGAAATAGCTCTGGCTGGTGTGACTCAGTGCCCTCAGTTAGGGCACATGCCTGGGTTTCAGGCCAGGCTTCTGGTGGGGGAGGCACATGAGAGGCAACCACACACTGATGTTTCTCTCTCTTTCTCCCTTCCTCCTCTCCCTCTAAAAATAAAAAATAAAATCCTAAAAAAAAATGGAACTAGATCAGAAAGGACTCACACTTGTTTTGATTTCTTGAATGGGAAGGAAGATCTAATCCAGAGGGAGCTGTCAGCCCCTCGCTTGGCCTCCAAGGAAACTGACTGCTCGGTTCTCTTGGCATTTATCTCCACAAATGCCTATTCCCTTCACTGAGATGAATACAGATGTGTCCTATGAAAGAAGCTTTACCAAGAAACAAAGGTAAGAAAGAAAACAAACTAATGGGAGATCTACAATAAGACCTAGTCACCTGGTCTAGCAAACTGCCCGTGTTCCTTTCCCTACCAGACCAAGCTGGCCAGACTGCTAACCACACAGCTTCAGCTTAGCACCACTTATGACCTTGTCGGAATATTGGCCTCTACAACATGACCATAAATCCATGACCTTGATAGACATATGGGGCTGGAAGTTAGGGGCTATCTCACCTGTCACATGCTTAAGGTTCCTTTCCTTTGTCATCCAATTCTCCTTGGACAGCCTTGCGAGAGCAGGCAGGTGTCACCTATATTAGCCTGTGTTCTTTATTATCAACAACATAATTTATTAGGAAGTTCTTTTCTATGTTGAGGCAAACTTATCCTCGTTGTTACTGCTTCTGCACACGTCTACAGTCACATAAAACAACCCTGTTTGCTTTTTCACATTGCAGCCTCACCAATATTTGGAGATGCTACCTCAGAATACCAAGCACAGGATTTAAGGTAAGATTTAACAGTCCAATACCCTCCCTGCCCAGAGACTTCTGTTTTTGAGGGGCCGGGGGAGTCCCAGCACACTACTGGCAACACCAAGTTTATGGCCAACTAACTTAGCTCTAAGTCTTTAGTTCCATCTCCCACAGGCTGAGCGGAGGCACACCTGGCCTTCTGGATCTAAGAACACACTCCATCCATAAGCCGTGCGGTATCTTAAGTGCTCCAGTGTTCATTATCTACTGCAGTGATGCTTAGCCTTGAATACATGCTAGACTTACCCCTTCATTTCAATTTTTAAGCAACTCTTAGGGATCCTGATTCTCTTAAACAGTATAATTTGCCATTATCTCAGCCTTTAGTCACTAAAAAATTTGATAACAATGCAATAACAATAGTAACAATGGCTCAGATTAGTTGAGTTTTTGCCAGGCATTTGGCTACGAGATTTTCATGGTATTTACCCCTCACAAAAACATGATGAAGTAGTTATTATAATTAATAGATAAACAAAGGTATAGAAATGCTGTTACTTGCTCAAGGCCACAGGGTCGATTGGTCGAGAACACAGGGTTTGAACCCAAGCAGATTGACAAGAGAATGCATACTTTTAACTGCATCACACTATTCCCATGAATGTCCTTTTTCAAAGCATTAATAAACTGTGTGAGCAAGTCTGTATGGAGCTCTATGGCAAACCAGCATGGCTTGAGTTAATCAGACCTGTTGAATAAATACAGCTAATTCTTAGCACAACTACTTGTGCTCGTGCAGCCTCAGTTAGTCTGTCTTCTCCACAATAACACAGTTAAGTGCCATGCTGAAATCACAGAGGCAGGATGCTCAGGTACAGTATTCCTTGAAGTGGTTAAATGCAAAGCAATTGGCATCCTGGCCACACCACTCTATAATTATTTAAGCTTTCTGTGCTTCAGAAGGTAATTAACAGTATCTACCTTGTGATTATGATGATTATAAAGTAACCCAGGTAAAGTGCTTAGGAAAACCCCAAGTACATAGAAAGTGCTCATTAAATGTTGGCTATTATTGTAATTCTCATATGGAAACAATAAATAGTCTGGTGTGTCCGGTTCTCAAAGTTATTACTTTTTAAATAATCTAGTCTAAAACCTTACTCATGACTTGTCAAATTTATCAATCTGTATGTTAGCAATCTCATTTTTCAAAAAGTATCTGCTCATCATTAATAATTCAGCACCTCATAGTTCACTGCGCTTTCTTAAAGACCACCAAGAGTCCTGATACCACTCTATACTTGAACCAAAGACTTGAAGCGTAACCTGATGCCTTGATATTTGGATGTAATGGAGAAAAAGAGCAGTAACTTCCCACGGGGGACAACTAAATTTGTGGCCTGTTGAGTCATCACCAGTCTGTGAGCCTGAGTGTAGAAAATCAGGAGTGCTGGTCAAGGCAATTGAGATTTGGGTCCTCAAGGCCAAGTCTGAGGGGGGCCCAGGGTGTGAACCATCGCAGCACAGCTGTCCTTCAGCATACTTGGTCACTGTTGAGCCCAAAGATGAGAGCCAGCCAAGCAGACATTTCCAAAGAACTGGGGTCCATGCAGCAACTGAACTTGAAAGCACTGTACAGCTGTTACCCCTCCTACTAATCCTTTTCACAGGCAGTCATGAAGTTTGATAAGAACCTTCTATATCCAGTCCAGAGGTTGTAAACTAATAGACTATAGACCAAAAGTAGCCACAGATGCTTTATTTGCCTCCCTTTAGTTATCTTTTAGTGAATTTAAAAATCTGAAGATTTAGCATAAAAATAGATTTTGCTCATCTTACAAAAAAAAAAAAAAAGATATGGCCACATTATGTCCTTTGAACAAGAATCAGCCAAAGCCAAGTAGTAGCTATTCACTTCAGATATGCAGAATCCAATCAGACATTAACATTTGCAAACCCTGATTAAATCCAACATTTCGTTCCACAGTTGAAGAAATTGGAGCTCTGAAAAACCATTTGACCTGTCTACATTTAATGGCAGTCAAAATTAGAAGGCCAGATGTTCTGAATCCAAGTTCAGTGATCTTTCGTGAGTCCTGTTGATCTTTCCCCTAAAGAATTTGAGATAAAGGGACAACACCATGGTTCTCCTTGGAACCATGACAAGGAGAAACAAAACAGAGAACTAGGTCTTCTGCTTTTGCAGCACTACCCTGCATTCCCTGCGCTGGGCTAGAAATTCTCAGGGGCTGCAATCCACTAGGGAAGTTACAACAAGCCAGAGACTCAAAGTCCCAGCATTCCTCAGGCTGCTGACCATACCCACAGTCTAAACTATTCCTGCTCTGGGCAGAAAGCACTGCACATTCCCAGCCTCCAGAGATGCTCTCAAAACCAGCTGGGTTACGCCCAACATGCTACTTTTTCCTTTGCAAATGGCCTTTTCCCTACCCACACAGGCAGTTAGTGGGAACAATAGCCTCTACGGGACATGGACTCAGGGAAGGGGGGGAAGAGGTTATAAAGAACAGTTACAGATGACAGGAGGTCAGGAGCTCTGAACTCTCTTCCTGGCTTTCTTCTCAAAATGTCAAATGACTATGGCCACGGCCTTCAACACATTGCTTTTAAAACGTACAGACTCGGTCCAAATTGACATAGTTTTATGCAAAGGATGCCCTAGCCATGCTCCTCTTGAGTATATTGACATTGATTTGTAAATCTTTGAAATCTTTAGCGTAAATGACCATGAATACATAATATCACAGCTTCATTGTATCTCAGGTCCAGGAATGTACTATATAAAACTGTCCAATGGGGTATTGGGTTCCCTTCATATCTCGACAATACCAAGGACACACTTATAGTCTATGCAAGTAACTAGGATTGGACTGTATGAGGAATGGAATAGTAACTGTGGAGCCCTTCACATGAGATCATACTCCATAAAAGTAGAAGGAATACAAATCAAAACTGCCTTATTTATGGAGGAGAGCAGGAGCGGGTGGCAACTGAACTGGACTGAAGATGACAAGGCCGAATAGCTGAGCAGGCGCTGAGTCAGAGATTCTGACTTGTACAAAGGACCAAAAACAAGCACACTATCAAAGGGCAAGTGCTCAAACATGCATAATGTCGATGACAGTTGAAGCCAAAGAACTTGCCAAGGTCTGCCTTTGCCCTGCCAAGGATCCTGGAACAACTTCCCCACGTTTCCATGAGAAAGACTGCTGCCAGGAACCAGTAAGTAGAGAGGCAAATTTCCCTTTGTGCTTCCCTCTGGGCAACGCATTAAAAAAAATTCCCTAGAGCCTCCATGTGGCATAAATTAAGGTGTTAGAGCCAAGTTCCAAGACTCATCAAAACCCAAGCCACACATTCATTCTGTTCAGGTCTATCCATCCTGGCTATTGCCTGGCCTCCTGGGAGCACAAGTGAAATATCAGGCTGTTGGCTGTGGTCAGAGACTTGTCTGCTATCCCTCAAGTAGGGAGATTTATTCTCATGGAGGCAGAGGAGATTCTTCTAGATGCATTATTTAGATTCTAATACTTTTCCCACTTGCTGAATATACAAGGACAGTATTTTCTCAGAACTAAATGATGATGACAATCATTCTATGAGATGGATTTTTAAATGTGCTTTTTCTCTTTTGATCCTCACCCTCCTCAGAAGCTGAGTCTGTTGATGTTCTCAACTTTCTTAAGTGGGAACACAGGAAACAGGCTAGGGTCTATGTAAAAGAAAAAACTAAGCTCAGAAAGGGAAGAAACTAGTCTCTTAGATTTGGGACACAAAGAAACACTGAATTAGGGCTGCGAGCCCACTCACAACAGGCATGAACTCTCCAGCGGGCACTAAATCAGACTTGAGTGGTAGGACAGGAAACCCTTGGGAAGACACTTTCATAACGGCTTTGTCACCGATACACAGAATTCTGGTACTCACATTCAGTGAGTCCAGGCTAGTAATTTGATTCTACACAAGGCTCTTTGAGAAATGAGTGTTGTAACCAGGACAAGACCTAAATCTTCCTAATCTGGGAAGCACTGGTCACTCAATTCCAACCATGCAGAGTTTTAAAGTACCAGGTCCTCATGGAGAAAATACCACAGGGTGAGGATACAGCAGCCCCTCCAAGGCAGCAGTGTGTAAAGGAGGGATCGTCACCATGCACATGACGACTTGCAAAAAATGTAGCTCAGGAAAGCTTTTCACTAAGATGTGGTCAGCAGTATTCATTAGCCCTTCGCACCTGCAGGTTGAACCAAACAGTTAATACATTTTCCTTCCTGATTGGAGCTACTGCTCCTTAGCTATTAAGGCTGGAGTCTGAACAGAAGGCTGTCATGGGACTGAGATCCCCCTCCCCAACTATGCTTTCTCATTTTAAGTCGCTGCCTCAGAGTTTCACCTCCTGTATGGTGTTTAAGTGTCTACTGGATAGATCTTCCAAAGAAAAACAACTATAAACTCCTGACAAAAATACAAAAATACCTGAAGGCATTGGTGAATAAACAAAAGAGCAGGCAAGTTCTGGAGAGAGGCTGAAACTTGGAAGAAGAAAATGGCACAAGGTGAGTTGCCGGTTTTATGGCTTTTAGGCTGATAGAAAACTGCGGCCTCTCTGGCTGAAGAATCAGAGCAACCACAGCTTCTGGAAAGTGAGGGGAAAAATCTCAGAAGAAAGAGCCTGAATTCGTGTATAAACTCTACCCACATCTCTGGCTCACCCCTGAACCATACAACCATACGTGTGAGAGAGGCATCAGCTAAAGCTAAAATCATTGAGATCTGAGCTGCTGCCCAAGACAGTTTACAGTCTAAGTTCAATGAAGTTAAATGCCTGCTAACAAACGAACAAAGAAAAAAAATCAGTACTCTTCAGAGAAATACAACAGAATGCACAACATAATCATGTATAACATTCAGGATACGATCTAAAATTACTCAACATTTGAAGAACCATAAAAACAGGACTCTCTCTGGAGAAAAGACAAACAAAGAAGTCTCACTCTGAGATGATTCATATGTTGGATTTAGCAGAAAAGAAACAGTTATTATAACTATGTTCAATGAAGTAAAGAAAAACATGTTTACAATGATTAAAAACAGGAATGCTACAGAGAAATATAAAGCAGTTATTACCAGTAACCACGGTTATTTATGCTCTGATGGCAAGTGAGACGGTAATAAGAAAACAACTCACATTCAAAAGTACTCCTGCTCAGTTGGAGATTTTTGTTTCAAGTGACATTTATGTGTACCAAAACTAAATTGAAAATTGCTTACTGACACTATAGGTACTTTTTGCTCTTTGGGAGACTTGACTGGAAAGGAACAAAAAAAAACTGAGCGAAGTTTGGTGGGGAAATTTTGCATACAGGTATTTTCGTTTAGCGAGGATGTAAAGGACAGAGATTTTCTGGCTGGGGTTCCGAATGTTCAACGCCAGGCCTGCTACTGGTTCTTACAAGGATCCAATTTTTTTTCTTTCAGAAGGCAGAGCTATGTAATGCTCTTGCCAGGCATCTAAAGGAGGCAGGCTACAGAAAATAGAAAAGTGTTTTTATGAAGGAAAAAGTGATCTTGAGAGAGAAAGCATGGAGAACATCAAAGCCTTGTCTTCTGAAGTGATTCTAACAGGGAATTACTAAAAGGAAGTAGTTGGGAGAGATAATCCCAAGACCCATTTGGGATCTCACACTGGTTCTTCTCTCCTTTGTTCACTGAATTTGATACCCTGTGAGACTGTGTTTCAGAAAAAGTGCCAGCTTCCCAACCCAAAAATTCCTGGTACTCTCAAAAGCAGGATATGATAGAAAAGAGAAAAACTGGTTCCTGGATAAAACAAAGGACACAAAACTCACAAAAAAAGTGGCAATAGCTATAGGAAGAAAGGTTACCAACAGGCCTGAAACTATTAGTTTTAGAATAAAGGTGACAGTTTCTCTGAGGGCAAGGAGCATAATTATTTAAATCAGTAAAAACAAATAAACAATGTCCAAACGAAGAGAATAAAACCTCCCAGAGTATTCTTAGCAACCTTGTAATATGCACCAAGTAAACTCAGTTTCCAGTGTCGAAAAGGAGCAATGACGCTTGACCCTGATCTGATTAGTCACTCGATCAGAAACAGGAACAAAAAGCAAAAAAAAATTATAAAACTCCTCTTTTTATCATAGTTTTTTAACTATAAAGCTGACCGCAACATTATCCAATGATGTAAAATTCTAGAAACTTTACAAAATTCCTCTTTTTAAAATTTATTTTTTGTTATCAAAGAGAATGTCCAAACACAGAATACTAAAGAATCTGCTCATGGCCTCCTTTTACAAAAGTTCCTAATGGAGTGTGAATATTTTATTCTGATGTATCTCCTTCACTTACTAAAGATGAGGTGAATGAACTGATGCAATTACTTAAAAAAAAATTCCAGACAAAACATCCATTCTCATTCTGCATCTGCTGATTAGAGTGCATTCAGTGGTTACAATACCACCACTGGCAAATAATTAACCTCCCCACCACGGGGAGCTATTCAAATGTTCTCCTTAGGTCTCAGAGGTCTCTCAGATATAGGCACCATGTTTGAAGTCTCACACAAAACTTCTGTGTCACTTAAATTACACAATGTGGCAGTGTTTTTTTCATGGAGACACAATCCTGAAAGAAGGCGCAAAGTAGAAAACAACCTGTTTTCATGTTATATGTGAGTACATTATTGGACCACCCTTGGGTTGTGGGCATCGCAGCCCTTGTTGGAGAGGAATTCCACCAACGAAGCATCATCTGTCAGTTCTAAGGTGCTCCCGGGGCTGACTGAGGGTGTTGCTCATACAACCAAGTGTGGTTAGGTCAGGGCCTTCCTTCATCTGCTGTTCGGCTCAAATGTTTTCAACTGCGTTTGGTTGTCCTGCTCATCCATCGTAAGCTCTATTTCTCAGCCTCGGGATATGTGGGGTACTTGACTGTCTCTATCTTCTCTCGGACTTTGTAGGAGGGATATAGGCCCGTCCTTCCCAGTTTCCTGTTGACACCTTTAGAATAGCCATCCCAGTGATTTCCAGCAACACCAATGACGTCTCCAGGTTCCATAGGAATTTCATCCGCAGTCCGAGGTTGGTGGGGATAAATAGCAATCTGGTTGTGGGCATTCTGGCCCCCAAAATAGTAGATGTCATCCAAAGAGTGGAAGTTTGCCGAGGCATCAGGATGCAGTGTTTGCATGATTTCATAAGCAACTCGACAGACCTTGGGAAAGAATGAAAAAAATTATTAGTATACACAAGACCTCCTTCCCTGCAGTCTAAAAGCCTTTGGATAAACCCTTGGATAAACAGACTAGGACTAGACCAGCACTAGGACTGAGAGAATGAGAAGTAGTGGATTCTAGTCGCAAGTTTTCACTCTATATGCTCTCTGATGATGGGGTAATATAAGTCTTTTTTTTTTTATCTCTGTGCTTATATCTTTTATATATAAAAGGTTATTACAATTAAGGCCTCTGAGAGAAAAATATACACTTTAAGAATATGAATCCGCTAATGTTACTAAACATTTATTAAGAGCCACCCACTACTCCATGTTGGGCACGGGTGGCCCAAAAATGAGTGAGACACAAATTGTGCCCAAGAAGAATTTCAGGTTTAGAATTAGGATTATAAATACTTCCCCCAAATGCTTGCTGCTCCCTTCCCTTCATTCAGTTAATCAATTACACACTCTCTTTCTGCTAATTTGGACTTGGTCTCAGAACTCTTTTCAATAGAAACTTATATAATTACTGACAATCGATTAGCACTGGCAAGTAAGGTAAAACACATCTACCATTTCTATTCTAAAGAGGTTTTTTTAAAGGTTTATTTTATTCTCATTCAAGAGAGAGGGGAAAGTGCAGGGGAGAGAGAGAGGGAGACAGAAAGGGAGAAACATCTATCGGTTGCCTCCTATGGATACCCTGACTGGGGATCAAACCCGCAACCTGGGCATATACCCTGATGGGGAATCAAAGTGGCAACCTTTTGGTTTGCAAAACAACACTCCAACCACACTGGTTAGGGCTATAGTCTAAAGAGTTTAAAGTGTGCTATGCAGATAGTAGCATTCTAGGACTGAAATAAGATGGACCAGTCTTCGGGGAAGATGCATCTACATGATGCATTTAGGGTTACTTGATAGATTCCTCTGTCAAAGAACTTCTGGCCAGGATGGAGGCATAGGTAGATATACTTGCTTCCTGGCAAAACCGAAAGAAGAACAACAAATTAAAAAACTAAAACAACAAGAACTGCCAGAAAATTGAACTGTATGTAAGTCCGACAACCAAGGAGTTAAAGAAGAAACATTCATCCAGACTGGTAGGAGGGGCAGAGTGGACACTCAGCAAGGCAACAGACTGGGTGGGTGAGGTGGTGACTGGTGGAGCAGGTGGTCCCATATTCATGCATAGATAAACCAGGAGGAAAAACTGGGGAGCAAGACAGACCTTACAACCCAGGGTTCCAGCACAGGGAAATAAAGCCTCAAAAACTCCCTGGTTATGAAAATCTTTGGGAATTGCAGTGGCAGGAGAAGAGGTCTCAGCCTCACAGAAAAGGTTGCTGGAGAGCCCCACAGGGTCCCAGAAGGTACACAAGCCCACCCACCTGGGAATCAGCACCAGAAGGAACCAATTTGCTTGTGGGTAGCAGAGGAAGTGACTGAAAGTGGGGCAAGAGCTGAGCAAGCAGCACTGTTACCTCTCTGACCCCTCCCCCCCATACAGTGCCACAACACAGTACAGTGACATAGGTTGCCCCAGCCTGGTGAACACATAAGGCTCTGCCCCTTACAACATAACACCTGTGCCAAGACAAAGAAATATGGCCCAAATGAAAGAACAGATCAAAGCTCCAGAAAAAGAACTAAGTGACAACGAGATAGCCAACCTACCAGATGCAGAGTTCAAAACACTGGTAATCAGGGTGCTCACAGAAATGGTTGAATATGGACATAAAATAGAGGAAGAAGTGAAAGTTATGCAAAGTAAAATAAAAAAGAAAATACAGAAAACCAACAGTGAAGAGAAGGAAACAGGGACTTAAATCAATGATTTACAGCAGAAGGAAGAAATAAACATTCAACCAAAACAGAATGAAGAAATAAGAATTCAGAGAAATGAGGAGAGGCATAGGAACCTCTGGGACAATTTTAAACATTCCAACATCTGAATCATAAGGGTGCCAGAAGGAGAAGAGGAAGAGCAAGAAATTGAAAACTTATTTGAAAAAATAATGGCGAACTTCCTTAACCTGGCAAAGGAAACAGACTTCCAGTAAATCCAGGAAGCTCAGAGAGTCCCAAAGAAATCGGACCAAGACACATCATAATTAAATTGTCCAAGACTAAAGGCAAGGAAAGAATCTTAAAAGCAGCAAGAGAAAAGGAGACAGTTACCTACAAAGGAGTTCCCATACAGCTATCAGCTGATTTCTTAAAAGAAACCTTGCAGGCAAGAAGGGCCTAGAAAGAAGTATTCAAAGTTATTAAAGGCAAGGACCTACATCCAAGATTACTTTATCCAGCAAAGGTATCATTTAGAATGGAAGGGCAGATAAAGTGCTTCCCAGATAAGGTCAAGTTAAAGGAGTTTATTATCACCAAGCCCTTATTTATAAGAAATGTTAAAGGGACTTATCTAGAAAAAGAAGATCAAAAACTATGAACAGTAAAATGACAACAAACTATCAACTATCAACAAATGAACCTAAAAAACAAAAGCTAAAAACAAACTAAACAAACAAGAACATGAACAGAATCACAGAAATGGAGATCACATAGAGGGTTATCACAGGGGAGGTGGAGAGGGGAGAATGGGGGAAAAGGTACAGGGAATAAGAAGCATAATTGATAGGTACAAAATAAACAAGAGGGAGCTAAGAATAGTTTAAGAAATGGAAAAGCTGAAGTACTTATATGTATGACCCATGGACATGAACTAAGAGAGGAGGAATGCTGGTATGAAAGGGGGGTGCAAGGTGGAGGGGGATAAAGGGGAGAAAAAATGGAGTAACTGTAATAGCATAATGAATAAAATATACTTAAAAATTAAATTCAAAAAAGCAAAAAATAAATTTGTGCCCTGGCTGCTGTGACTCAGTGGATTGAGCGCCAGCTCACCAACCAAAAACATTTGTGTTGAACGGTTTACATCTCTCAAATAAAGAAAACATAGTGAGTCATTAAAAAAAAAGATTCCTGTCAAAAGAATACCTACCATGCCCACTGGATGGATGGCAGCCCAAATTCTACAATCTGAGCTTCATTGCTTGAGCCTAATGCTTGGTGATTAAGTTAAACTATAACTATCCTCAGGGAGGTATAGCATTTTAAGCAATTAAGGAAGAGTCCTTAATAAATTAAGGAACATTTATTACAGCATAAATAGATTTCCAAAACTCTTCTAAGAATAGGTGAAGAAAGAAGAGAGTATACTATTGTTTTGCTCAGAAAACTCTTCCAGAGCTGGCCAGGTAGCTCAGTTGGTTAGAGCACTGTCTAGACACGCCAAGCTTGCAGCCAAGGCTGCAGGTTCAGAATTTCATCCCTGAGGAGCAAACAGCTGGGTTTGCATGAGGCTCCAAAGCTTTCTCAGAGCAGATGGGGTCTTGTGTTTTTGTGAAAACAGACAGGGCCAGGAGGATCTCCTAGTGCGGAGACTTGGAAGTGGGTTCTTGTCTCACTGGGGGATGCTGGGATATCTACAAACTATTTTGTTTTGCTCCTCAGTGAGAAAGCCGTACCCAGTGTTGCTTCCTGAGCCATACCTGGATGGGAATTCCAATCCAGAGCCCTCTATCTAGAATAAATGCAGTATCTGGTTTTTTTTCCACTACACTTTCCAAAATCTGATTGAAAGTGTAGTGAGGCCAGTTATACAGTGTGTGAATTTGGAATTAAACAACAAAGAGTGCCACAGAATATATTTTAAGTCACAAAGTGAAGTAGCACAGAGGGATACTTTATTTGGCTTAATTTTATAGCTTAATTTATTTCACTTTAGAGCTTTTATGACTAGAGCAGTGGTCTTCAACAAGGATGATTTTGCCTGTATGGGACGTTTGGTAATGTCTGGAGACATTTTTAATGGTCACAAACTGAGGCAAGGATGCTACTGGCCATGGATGCTATTAAGTATCCTACAGTGCCTCGTAACAATTTTTCTGGCCCCAAATGCCAATGGCGCCTAGACTGAGAAACTCTCTATTGGAAGAACAAACTTTAGACAGGGGCACAGTCTAGGCCCACAGAGGAGGCTGTACATATGAGAAAGTGACTCTTGACTTATTCATTCTTACCATATGCATTAAAAAATATGTGGAGGTTGTCACCAGTCATTTGCACCTGTTAATCATACAGACACACAGCCCAATTGTCAAAAACAGTTGAGAGAGACTAAGCAGCTACAATCGCCCCCCTCCACCCTTGAGAATAGAAAAGAGATCATGTCCCTCATCAGGAAGAGACACCGGCAGTGGATGCCTACATGGGAACCTGAAGGCCAAGTGAGCTTTCCCTTCCGACTAGGACTGCTGCCTATGGGACTCCTGCTCTGCGTGACTGTCTTTTTGGGGTAGTAAGTTGTATACTTATTCCATGTGGAAGAAACTCATATAGCCTCTGCTGTGGTAGGTCTTTCCAACAATCACATCGCCATCCCACTGTGACAATGTGCACTGTCACTTGATAAACACTGTCTATTTCTTTATACTCGCTGAAGTCTATTCTCATGAGGATGATGTGGCTTTCCTTTTCACACTTTTTCTCAACTTCTTCTAGGCTTTTAGGAATATATTATTCTTATATGATTTCTATTTCTTGGTAGTTATTTCATGTGAGTGTTTGCTTACTAGATTCTGGACCAGGGTAAGATCTGTATCTATATCTGCTTTGAAATTCCCTCTGCACTTATTATAATTCTGAGCACAAATAGTCATTTAACAGACTGTTGAATAAACTAGCCAATAATATGCACATAAATGAAAGAACAGAATAAAATCCACAATAAATATTACTATGCAGATATTCCACCGGGACATATAAGGCTGCTTGGACCACTCACAAAAACACATACACCAAACCCACAACACAGAATTACCTGCAACAATTAAACTCAAAGAATGAATGTAGTACAGTACTGCTTAAATTTAACATAGAAATGTAATAGGACTTGAAGAGAAATTACATTTACTGTTTCTTATTTTCCAAAAGCAATCAAGTGAAGCAAAATGCTGGGCATTTAAGCCTCTCAGTATCAGTGAATCAATGTGTAGCAATGGATGGATTCTGGTTAAATACTGACTGATGCAAAATCAGAAAGTATTAAGTAAGCTTAATTACTTGCTGTTTCTGTTAAATGCCATGAACAAGCCAACCACTTTACACAACTCCAATAGCTGGCTTCAGTGGAGATGTACTCAACCGTTGCTTCCAAATAACTAAATATTCAGTGCACTTAAATAGCTATTTTTGGGGAAATCTTCTCATACTTACACAAAAGGGATCATTCCCAAATATTAAAAAAAAACTTCACCTGAATCATGATAGCTAACATTTGAAAAAACACACAAACAACAAGAACTTCCTGACCCCAACATGACCAAAAAGTACTGGACACTTAAAAATACCCCATTATCACTTACCTGGGAGGAAAAAGTGCACACTAGGAAGTCTGCCTGGGACAGAAAGTGTATGTCCAGAATCACACCCCGAAGTGAATTTTCTGTGTATCGATTGTGTAGTCCAGCTGACCAAGAGATAGAATTATCACTGATAAATTCATAACTGGGGTACCTGAGAAAGAAATGAATTTATACATGGTCACTGAAATTACAGTATTCTATTAGGAGGAAGTGTTCTATCAGCAGGAAGCAAATCAGCTAGCTCCTTTGACCAAGAGTTCCTCTCCTTCTAACAGTAAACTGAGCTTTAAAAAGTTGTAACATTCAAGAAAGTAGCCAGTGAAGCATCTTTGAATCCAACAGCGGGACAGAAACCATTCTGGAATGTCCTGTGTGCTAAATGTCATTGGCATGCATATAAAATACACCTTGATGCATCAAAATATCCCTTCTCAATTCATCAGAGTTCAAAACAGAAGGTGCCTATTTTCTTTGTTATTAGTGATCTCTAAGAGGTTTTACAAGCTGCTTTCATATGTGATCACTGAGCTTTTCCTTTAGAATACAAATATCATGATTAAACTTCATTTAAACTTTTAATTCAGAATTTGTGATAATTCAGACTTGTCCCCTAACTTCCATCCTAGCCACCATTCTTGAAGCACCATCCTAACCAATAATGGTAATGTGAAACCATTCTAACACATTCATGAAGGCAAATTGCTTGTAGATGTCCACCCAAGTAACATTTTGATAGTCTTGAGAGAGGATGTTTAAAACTATTAAAACAGGATATCTTTAAAAAGTCTGCCATATGTTCAAATGATTCTACTCTGAGTTAGAAGTTTAATTACACTCCAGAGTAAATCAATTTTCTCAGCGCATGAGACAGATCTTCAGAGTTAAAAGGCAAACTTTGGGAAGTTATTTGAAAAGGAGATAACAACTGTATATACTTTATGTAATTCACAAGGATTAAACACACTGAGCAATGTGAAGTACTCAGAAGAGGATCCGACATGTAGTACATGCTCAGTCAACATTGTCTGTGACTGTTAAACATTTTTCCCCAGGCATCCATCTGGTTTTATTGCTTAACTTCCTTTAGATCTCTGCTCAAACACAGCCTCATTAGTAAGGTCTTTGGCAGTCTGTATCCCTTTTACCTGCTTAATTTTTCTCCATGGCTTTTATTATTTGACACAATATAGATTTACTGTTTATTTACTGCCTGCATCCATTCATTCACCACCTTCATCATCCCTAACTGACAACGGGCATTCCACCTGTTTTGTTTATACTCTTATTCTCAGCCCCTAGAAGAGGGGCTAGGATATAGAGGATCAGTAAGTATTTGTTGAAGAAATAATAGCTTCTATTTATAAATTCTGAAACATTAGGAGTCAGTTTACCCGTCCATCTCCCACATGGTTTTGCCCCCAAACTGGGACTAAGCCTTATTTTTCTTTGTATCACAGTACCTTGCATCCCATACAATGCTATGTCTATAAATACGGGAACGAGTGAGTGTTGGGGACTTTTTCCTAATCCCCTAAGAGCTGCTTCAGATTTCTCTTTATTTCACGGCCACCACGGGGCTTTCTTTCATTGCCTTTAATAATGACCGTGAAGCTAAAGTTTCTGAGCACTGTTTCAGACTGGTATTCAGTGTTCAGATCCATTTGGCCTCATTATTTTTGACATTTTGCCCTCCTGAGCTCCAAATCACAGAGATGAAGGAAATGTCACATTTATTCTAAAAAGAAAACAAACAAAAAAGACTTTTAATGTGATTCTTGCAAAGCTGCATACCCAGGCATAGAGCAGAAACAGCAATAAATAAATAGGAAAACACTGGAGGGCAGAGGAGAAGAGGAATTGCTAAAACTCACGAGTAAAGGTTTTATCCTTGATGAAAGACTGCTTTTGTCAGCATGGTTTGGGTGCTCAGTGAAACACTGGAAAGAGCGATCCTTCTACTGAGAAGCGACATTAACATTAATGCCCTTCTGAACTTAAAGGACCCTCCCTGAAACCAAACCAAAAAGGCACCTAAGTTCCTCAGGCCTTATCTCTATAAGCAAAAGATGACTTGATGAAGAATACTTAGAGTGGGAAAATCAAAGAAACAAAGTGAATAATGGGCGAGTGAGCATTTGCACCTCCGACAATGAGCATGGAACTTTCCATACAAACATGCTTCTTTCTTGTCTTTTGTCCCCAAGTATATCAGCAGAGGAATCCTTCCATTTTGAAGTTGCAGAGATTGGCAATAATAAAAAACATTTTTTCTTCTTCTACCTTATACAAATTCATTTTTATATCATCCACAAAGGACTAACTTGAAATTAAAGACTAACAGCAAATTTTCTGAAGTCCTTCTCCAGACTGAGGGAGATACTCCATGACTCAGAAAATTAAAATTAAAAGATTTTCAAAGAGAAAAATTATGCATAAATACTACATTTATAATAGAATGTGAGAGAAACTACTGCCTAGACTACAATGGGGAAAGGAGTGACCAGCTACTGACCACAAAAAGGAAATTCGAGTTTTATTAATCCCATAACCAAGTACTGCCACATATACTACAAGGGTTGCTTGGTGTAAAAATATAATACTGTGTTATAGATCTAAGCTGTAAGCACCTCAGATATTTTTATCTAAATACTTCTCTGTCCAGGAATGTAGCTTAAGGAAATAATGGGGATAATTTCAGGAACATATTGGGGCATTATTTATAAGGTTAAAAAATTATAGCCCTGGCTGGTGTAGCTCAGTGGACTGAGCACGGGCCTGCAAACCAGAGCATCGCGGTTCGATTCCCAGTCAGGGTACATGCCTGGGTTGCAGGCCAGTTCCCAGAAGGGGACCCACAAGATGCAACCATACACTGATATTCTCTCCTTCTCTCCTTCCCTTCCCCTTTAAAGATAAATAAATAAAATCTTTTTAAAAATTATAAATAACTATCCAATATTGGGAGAATGGTCAAGTATGCAATGGAATATCCTCATAGTGGCTACTTAGTTACTAAAAAAGATACTTATAATGATTTTTTTAGTGACCTGGGAAAAGAGACCTACTGCTATATTAATCCAGAGAGTTCATGTTATATAGAGTAAGATAAGCTACTAAAATGTGTAACTATATAAATGAAGAAAATATACCAAAATTTAAAAAGTTAAAGCCACTGAGTAATAGGACTATGGGTAATATTTTTTCCTTGCTTGTATACTTACCAACTTCCATATTTTCTAATGAGCATGAATTATTTTGCTAATCAAGGAAAAAAGAAAAAAGGAAAAAGCTTATAATGCATTCAAGAACAAATAAGAGTAGATAAAATTAGTATTTTAATATTTTTTCAACCAAGCTACAAATTCTGCCTGGTATTTTAATAAAAAAAGTGTGGTGAACAATTTCTACATCTCTGTAATAGGTCTAGATATCAAACTGGAAAAGCACTTGAGAATTTTTTTATTTTCTGTTTTGTGCCCAAATGTTCATTTAATCCTCAATTCTTACATAAGAATTATAACTGTATAAGTTGGCTTATACTTGGCTGGTGAATTTCTTGGTTCTTGTTTATGTGTGTGTGTGTATTCAATAGAGACTTAAGAAAAAAGCAACTTATGGTATATCAGATGAATATGAATTCTTTGGAGGCAGAATATTTAAAGTATTATCCAATGATGTGAAGAAACTCCTGCATATAATCCTCATTCTACATTTGTTTTTCTTCCTAACCCCCATTTGTGACATATAAAAGGGACCAAGACATAAACAAATAAATTGAAAAATCATATAGCTTAAATTATTAATAAAATGCTTTCGAACGGGTGGGACTGAAGTAAACATAATTCAGCAGGAACACAGCCCAGCGCCTGGGGATGCTTTTTGGAATAGATGGCGTCCGGGCCAAGCTACGACTAGAGTTTTCTTCTCCCCCTTCCCTACTTTCACATACATTTAGTACGTCCTTTACTTATTGGTACTAAATAAAGGCCAACTCTAGGTTTATCCAGATCCTATGATAAATTCCAAGTTAGGATCAGTGCTTCATGAGTTTTTATAACACCCAATGTTAATTCTCTAACAGCCCTGCTCATTCTGTAGACTACTTCTCTGTCCCCTCACCCTGCCGCCCCCTATTAGAAATTCCTTGAAAGCAGAGTGTCTTGCTTGCCTAGCACCTAGCACAGTGCCTGAAATATAGGAAGGGGTTCAATAAACGATGGTCACTAATACACACTAGTACTAGTAGTCCTTTTCCTGTGCTTATAGAACTTATCTTTTGATTCTTTATGTTTTTCTTTAAGTTTTCATTTATTTATTTTTAGAAGAAGGGGAAGGAAGGGAGAAACAGAGGGAAAGAAACATCAGTGTGTGGTTGCCTCTCACACAGCCCCCACTGGGGACCTGGCCTGCAATCTAAGCATATGCCGACTGGGAATCGAACTGGCAACCCTTTGGTTCTCAGCCCATGCTCAATCCACTGAGCTATACCAGCCAGGGCTGATTCTTCATGTATTTTAATAAAACTTCCAAATTCTAGAAATTTTTATAAGATGAAAGTTTTATCCTACATATGTTTTCAGTTGCTTATAATTGTTAGTGAAGAATCAGAGCAAACGGCTAAGTACCTGGTATGTTACTGCTAACAGTCCTATATAGTTGGTTAAGTGTTATAGACTGAATGTGTGCATCACCCCAGAATTTGTATTTAAGCCTTAACCCCCCAGTGTGATGGTAGCTGAAGACAGAGCCTTGAAGAGGTAATTAGGGGTAAATAAGGGCATGAGGGTGGGGTCCTCATAATAGAATTAGTGCCTTTACAAGAAAAGACTCCAGAAAGTTTGCTCTTTCTTCTAAGCACACAAAGAGGTCACGTGAATAAAAAACGAGATGGCAGCTGCCTTTGATCCAAGAAAAAGGGCTTCCAAATGAAATCTACACTTTGCTGGCAGCTTACAATTGCTTTGATTATATTAACAAGTTATACAAGTACACAGTTATTGGAATTAAAAAACCCCAATAGTTAGTAACAATATTATATCAAGAATCATAAGCCATGGGAATTAAGGATTCCTTTCAACTGAAGAGTTCCACTCTAGAATCACTACTTCATCTAACTTACTTTGTTTTTGCCTCCTTTAATAAAGAAGGGTCATCTGTGGCCAAATACACTCTTTTTTTATCCACTTGCATCCTGCGAGCGAGAAGATGAAAATGTTCTTCCACGTGCACCATGTACTCCTCAATGGGGTGGAAGGCAGCTTCGGTTCCCACTTTGTCTGTGCGTCTGACATGAACTCTGGGGGGTGGGGGGGGAACACAGGGACCAAGTCAGATTCTGTCATAATGTTCTGATTCACTGGGTGCTCTTAGGGTACTCAACTTCATACTCCTCTTCATGATGGCGTTATGAACATTTTAAACTGATTTGTCTTTCCTTTTTCACCATTAAAAAAATTTAAAAATCCAAACACATATATCTTAAATATATTTGTATGTTAATATAGTACAAAGGAAATTGAAAAATAAGTAAAGCCTTTAACAAATGCATTCTTATAAAAAAGTAATTGGCACATCAGAAACAAGGGGTAGATTCCACAGTTATATTCCATACTGGGCAGCAAAATACCAATTAGCCTTTCAGAAAAAAAAAGGATATTAACTTTCAAGATTTTTTTTACAATGAATGATACCAAGATTCACAATTGTTATTATAGAACATTAATGCATCATTTGTAACATTTTGATGTCGACTTTTCTTTTTCTTCATTTTACCCTGTTGGTCACTCTGTAACTGCCAACTTGTAGAATTCAAAGTTGCCAGAAGGAAACCCAGGCCTTGCACGCACTGTTCCCGTGGCACAGTCAAAGCAAGCAAACCTTCCAAGGGTCCTTACTATTTTTAAATTCATGGAGCCATTACAGCCCTCTCGTTGCATGCATGATGAATTTCCCTTCACTGTTTTTCACTCTTATCAAACACAAGCAGATACTGCTCTATCTCATCTTTCCTATTTAAGAAAAGCTCCAAAATTATAAAACTGGGGACACAGAGGTTTACACTGTCCTGCACGGAGAAAGGCATTGACTCCCACAGCATTATCCTCACATCTTACTGCTTTCAAGATGATTTTAAAGAAATGAGAACAACAGTAATCACAGCTTGTTTTTACAAATTACAACTCCTCTGAAATTAGCCTTTTCTGTATCCCTCCTCTTCCCAAATTACTAAACCACTATTCACATGCGGGAAAATGGAAAAGGTAGACTTGTTTCCCTTTAGGTCAAGCAAAGGCCAGCTTTGTATTATGAATCTGGAGCAGGGGTTTGATTTCACTGAAGTTGCTCGGACACCTTCATGGCCATTCTTTCCTTTGCATTCCAAACTATAGTCCAGATATGAATACTATTATTTGAACACTTCTATCATCTTTTCCTTCTCACATCCTTCTTAATCACTGCTTCTCTCAGGGAATTGGTATTGTTCATTGTGCTCCTAAGAAATGAAGAGGGGCAAAAAGAACAATTCCACTGAATTTCAGTGAAATTTTTCACGAGAGGAAAGACTGATACTGATTTCACCTTGTATTTTCTCTAGCTTTAACATTTGGAATAAGGGTCAGTAACTTCTATACACATGCAGACTAAGACACAAGAGAAGAAGCAAGGGTGGGAGTTATGCAAATGAAAATAAAAACAAAGAAGAGATATAACAGAAAGAAGGATCAAAGGAAGAGGAGCATTTGAGACAGTGGCAAGAACACTACACTAAGTAATTTTTCCAAGTACTCCTAGCAGTAGGCATGGATCAATAATCTGACAAAGGACCATAATGAAATCTCTGCGGAAGAATCAGAATGTAAGACCCGTGAAGGGTATTAGAAGTCATTTAATTTAATGTAAGTCTTTTATCTGACCATTAAGGAAACTGATGCTTCTGAAGACATTTCAGTGAGTAAAGACAACACAGGGCATTTCAACCCAGTCTTCGCAAAAGTAAAAGTTATTTGTGTACCTGACTGATTTTCACTAATAGATAGCAAGCTCTTTTGGCTCAGGGGATCTGATTTTATTTATTCCCAATGTCGCCAAATGAAATGGATAAATAAATGAATGAATGATGGGTAGATACTAAAATCTAACTGTTTAATATTGTTAGTAAAGACCCTAAATGCCATCTAATCTAGTGTTTTTGTTTTTAACAAATGAGGAAAGGGTGACGATTAGTGAAGGCCTCAAATGAGCAAGTAAGTTGCCCAAAGTCACATAACCGTTAGTGGCAGACGTAGATGTGACCTCTAAATCCCTAAATCCCAGCGTACTCCTCTTTCATTACAGAACACTACCGTCACTGTCTGTGCTATTTCAATTTTCTCTACCTGGCCAATTCTCAATATGGCGGATGGCTCATGGAAAATTAATAAGGGTTGCTTTCTAGTATGTAAAACCACAGGAAATCCAAAGTTAACAAGGTTCCAGAACTCTGGGCAGAGATTTTCTTTCCTTAGTTTCCTTACCTGTAATATAATTATCTCTTCCCACTTCACAGGACTGTGTTACAGGATCAATGAGATAACACAGTTGAAAATATTTTGGCAATTTAAATACTATACTGTTATCTTTCTCCATCTTCTATGAAGCCTTTCCTGATCCAGATGGAAGTACATTCCCCCCTTCCCTAACCTCTTGTAATATTTCTAATGCTTCTCTCATGTTATTTATCACATTCTACCCATGTCATGTTAGTTATGTAAGTCTCTTATCCCACAGGCTACAATGAGCTGGAAGAAGCCATTTAAAAAACATTAATCTCTGTCCCCCACAGCAGCAGGTATTCAATAAATGTTTTGCAAACAAGTGAATGAATCAGCGATGTATTAATATTAATCAATGGTTGACTTTATCAAAAACAGTATAAATTACAGAGGCCATAGTCTATTCTACAAGTCTATTTTCAGGAATTATTTAAGCATCAGTCTTTCTGAAATGTGATAATACTTTATAGTGCATTTTTCCCACAGAACAAAAATCTTCTTTTAATCCTCATATTATCACATCTTCATTTTTAGGGCAGGTGTTACCTACCCTGTTTTACAGATGGAAAAATCAAAGCCCAATACTACTATTAGGTAACTTGGCATAGGGGAAAATCAGGACTATTACCCAAGTTGCTTAACTCTCAGTTCAGTATTCTTTCCATAAGGCAAAGAACATTTCCCATGGTGCTGAAATCTTGCATCAGCACCCAGGCAATCTCCTTTTCCCACAATTTTTTATGTACATGTATAGGAGCATATACTTGTGAGCAAAGATTTTTTTGAAATTTCTTGCTCCCAGGATTTCCTGATATATCTCCCTTAACATAAAAGCACCAGATGAATACATATATATACTATAACTCCCAAGTGGGCCAAGAGATCATTTTAAATAATAATTTTAACATTACCTTACAGTACAAATGATACCCTTATTCTCAAAATAGCTTCCAGAACAGAAAAAAAAAAACCCTACCCAGAATATCAAAAAAGCAAAAGAATCTCCAGTGGTAATTAATAAAGCCTAAGAATAAGGTGTAATCGAAAAGTTATAAATTTGACAGCTTCATCTCACAACCCTGTTAGGGTCAGACAGGGTCATGTATAATATCCGAAATACTCCCAGTCAAATAAAATCTTGCTGGTTTCCTCAGGGGAGACAGCTAATTTCAGATATAGGGACTTAGTACATTTATTGAATGAATAAATAAAAAAAAGGGTGACAAAGTACAATGACCCAACTATCCTAAGTAAATGAAAGAAGAATAGTCTCCCTGTGGCTAAGGTAAACTGTAGATCCTGTTTGGGGGTAGAGCTATGGAAATTAAACTATATATTGTAAAGTTCACAATATATTATAAAGATAGGTATCCTTGCTACTCCATATCACTTTATGAGGAACGAGTCAGATTCTTACCCAATCACTGGATGTTTGAAACCAAGCTTCTTGGTGGCCTCTTCTATTTCCTTTTCCAGCCAAGGTTGTGGGCGGATCAAGTATTTGACAAACTGAGACACCCACCACACTGCAGGATCTCCATGGACTCGAACAAGTCGGTCTGCAAGGTCTTCTGGTACAGCCAGGGGTAAATATGGAGGACGAGGATGAAGACTGTCTACAATCGGGAGCTCGACCACCTGAACATTTTTGTCCTTTATTTCACCTAAAAGAATATAAAAACATCAGCATCACCACATTGTGTTGCTCATACAACTACCACTTCACAAGGGCTCTGGTGCTTTCATTCACAGTAACTCTAGAGAAGTATAATTTTCACTTTACACAGGTGTTTACACAGGTGCCCAAGATGTTAGCACAAAAGTGACAGAGCTGCAGTTCACGTTTCGGATGATGTGCCTCTCAGGTCCACAGCCTTTTCTTGTCTATCTTCACATGCTACTATATCAACACTTCTTTCCCAGATTAGGATGGTGTCTAGTACTCAAAGTATCTAATCAGAGAATAACCATACTGCCAGTGGACACAGCCAGCTTGGCAAAGTGCTAATTTTTGTAATTGTTTTTTTTTAATTAGACATAAAGTGTTCTTAAAACTTACAGCTTGTCATTATAGCAAATGGCTCTTGCATTACTTTCATGGCAAAGCAAACGACTCTAGAGACACCTAAAGATTACAATGATAAGCCAAGCAGCTATACCTTTTTAAGAAAAAAGACATCAGATAATTCTAGTCTTTTTTTTTCCTTGGTAAAAATAGAGCTATTATATTTCCCATTATGATAGTAATAGAATCTGTGTTTACCTGACTTTTAATTTAAAGTTACAACAGAGATTGGATGCTAATTTTTGCAGATGAAGATCAGTTTCAGAATCCAACTTTTATATGTCATTAATGTTACTGTTCTACTAATTTCATAATGCAATGAGAACCCAAATGTGATAACCAACATCCCTAAACTTTACATATTAATGACCATGTAGTAATAAGGTATGTGTTATTTAAGAAACAGGACACGTTCTTAAATAAAAGCAGCACCTGAGTAGTATACTACTCGGGAAGAAAATAATATTCTTGCTTTTGTTATTTTGTTACGATTTCACTGTACATTTTTTTAGGGTGCTGAATCTACTTTGGGAGGCCTACAAATTATCTTTGAGAGTTACAAACACGATACAATCTACTTTAGTTATTAAATATCAGAATTTATAGTTAATTTTTACATAATGTACTGAGCCTGATGAAACTGAAAATTATGGTAGGCATGTTTTATTGCTAGAACAAAGTCTGTCCCTTCTTCCAGAATTTTTTTGTTTCACATTGTACATTAACTTGAAATGGATAATGAAATTAATTTATAAAAATCTAACAGAATATTTCTATACATTTCTGGTCAAGATGGAGGCAAAGGTAAACACATTTCACCTCCTTGTGCAACCAGAGAATTACAAATGAACCTAAAAAAATAAATAACATCCAGAACCATCAGAAAAATCAAGCTTTATGGAAACCCGACAACCAAGGATTTAAAGAAGCCACATTCATCCAGACAGGTAGGAGGCGCAAAGACACAGAGAAGGTGGAGAGGCACAGAGGCAGAGCAGCTGGTCCCACATTCACATGTGGTGGATAAAATTTGGGAGGAATACCTTGGGAGCAAGTGATCCCAGTCCCAGACCAGGGCACACAGCTCAGGGTTCCAGGGCCAGGAAGATAAATCCCCATGATTTTTGGCTGTAAAAGCCAGTAGGAGTTGGAGTGGTAGAAGAAACTGCCAGATTTTTAGGAGATTCTGCTTAAAGGACCCACACATACTTAGAACATACACAGACCCAGCCCTTCTGGAATTCAGCACCAGGGCAACAGCCAGAAGGGTACCAGTCATGTACAGGGAGTAAATGAAGTGACTGGAAACAGGGTGAGTGATGGGAAAACCTCCCAAAGCCAGGCAGCGGCACTGTCCCCTCCCCACAGAGCAACAAAGTGGTGAAGCCAGTTGCCCTACCCTGGTGATTACTTAAGGCTCCACCCCACACAATTTGTAGGTGCCTTTTCTACAACAGGCAGGGAATCAAAGCAGCTCCACCTAATAAAGGGTAGAGCTGCCAAATAAACACAGAGAGGCTGCCAAATTGAGGAGACAAAGAAATATAGGCCAAATGAAAGAACAAAATAAAATCCCCCCAAAACAACTAAATGAAACAGAGATAGCCAACCTATCAAATGCAGAGTTCAAAACACTGGTGATCAGGATGCTCAAAGAACTCACCGAGTATAGCAACAACATAAAGGATGAAATGAAGGTTACACTAAATGAAATAAAGAAAACTCTACAGGGAACCAATAGTGGAGGGAATGAAGGTGGGATTCAAATCAATGATTTGGAACACAAGGAAGAAATAAGCATTCAACCAGAATACTAAAAAGAAAAAAGAATTTTAAAAGATGAGGATAATATAAGGAGCCTCTGGGCATCTCCAAATGTACCAATATCCAAATCATGGGATTCCAAAAGGAGAAGAGGAACAGCAAGTAATTGAAAACTTATTTGAAAAAATAATGAAGAAAAACTTCCCTAAGTGGGTGAAGGAAATACACATATAAGTCCAGGAAACACAGAGAGTCCCAAACAAGCTGGACCCAAAGACATCATAATAAAAATGCCAAAGATTAGACTTCTGCCAAGACGGAGGTGTAGGTGGAAACACTGTGCCTTCTTGTACAACCAAGTCTAAAAACAAAAAGTTTTAGCAACAAAGAATGCAGCCAAACCACAGAAAATTGAACAATACAGGAGTCTGACAACAACGAACCACTCAGCTAGACTGGTAAGAGGGGCGAAGCCAGCAGCGGAGCCAGTTGGGCAAAAATGACCCCCGACCCAGGCAGCCAAGGGCGAATCCCAAGTGTGGGGTCGTGACGGGTAGACTCGGTGAAGGTGCAAGGTGGCAGGCTGACCGCAGTCACACATTTGTGCGCAGATAAACCAGCGAAGGACAGAGCACTGAGACAGGCAGGGCAGGCCCCAGCAGTGTGAAGGAGCAGAGGGGACCGCCATTGCTCCCTCTCTGATTCTACCCCCCCATACAGCATCACAAACCAGCGACCTGGGTGGCCCTGCCCTGGTGAACAACTAAGGCTCCTCTTCTCATACATAACAGGTGCAAACAGATCAAAACATGGCTCAAGAACAACTCAGAGCCCCAGAGCTGATAAATCTAAGAGAACAAGAAATTGCCAACCTATAAGAGGCACAGTTCAAAACACTGGTGATCAGGATGCTCACAGAACTGGTTGATTTCAGCCACAAATTAAAGGAACATATGAAGGCTAAACTAATTGAAATGAAGGGAAATGCACAGAAAGCCAATACTGATGGAAAGGAAACTGGGACTCAAATCAAGGGAGCGAACCAGAAGGAAGAAAAAAATGACCAAACAGAAAAATATGAAGAAACGAGAATTCAAAAAAATGAGGACAGGCTAAGGAACCTCCAGGCCTTCTTTAAACGCTCCAACATTCGAATTATAGGGGTACCAGAAGGGGAAGAGGAACAGCCATGAGTGGAAACCTTATTTGAACAAATAATAAAGGAAAACTTCCCTATTCTGGCAAAGGAAATAGACTTCCAGGAAATCCAGGAAGTTCGGAGAGTCCCAAAGAAGTTGACCCAAGAAGGAACACACCAAGGCACATCATCATTACATTAACCAAGATTCAAACGAAGGAGAGAATTCTAGAAGCAGCAAGAAATAAGGGGACAATCACCTACAAAGGAGTTCCCAACAGACTATCAGCTGATTTCTCAAAAGAGACCTTACAGGCAAGAAGGGGCTGGAAAGAAGTATTCCAAGTCAGGAAATCCAAAGACCTACAACCAAGATTGCTCTATTCAGCAAAGCTTTCATTTAGAATGGAAGGACAGATAAAGTGCTTCTCAGATAAGATCAAGTTCTAGGAGTTCATCATCACCAAGCCCTTATTATATGAAATGTTAAAGGGACTTTACCTAAGAAAAAGAAGATAAAAAAGATGAACGGTGAAAGGACAGCAAACTCACAGCTATTAACAACCACACCTAAAATAAAAGTAAACTAAGAGGACAGCTAGATCAGGAGTGAACCATAGAAATGAAGATCACATGAAGGGTTAGCAACAGGGGAGTGGGAGAAGGAGAAGGGGGGAGAAGGTACAGAAAATAAGTAGCATAGACCATAGATAGAAAATAGATGGGGGGGGGGTAAGAATAGTATGGGAAATATAGAATCTAAAGAACTTGAGACACGTGGTCATAAACTAAAGGGGGGGAAGGGTGGGGGAGGGGTGTGCAGGGTGGAGGGGAATGAAGGAGGGGAAATAGAACAACTGTAATGGCATAATCAAAATATATTTTTAAAAAATAAAATAAAATAAAAATAAATAAAATGCCAAAGATTAAAGATAAAGAACGAATCTGAAAAGCAGAAAGAGAAAAACAGTCACCTACAAAGCAGTTCCCATAAGACTGTCAGCTGATTTCTCAAAAGAAACCTTGCAGGTAAAAACAGACTGTCAAGAGGTATTCAAAGTCATGAAAAGCAAGGACCTATATCTAAGATTACTCTCTCCAGCAAAGCTGTCATTTAGAACTCAAGGGCAGATAAAGTGCTTTCCAGGCAAGGTAAAGCTAAAAAATCATCATCACCAAGCCATTAGTACATGAAATGTGTTAAAGGGACTAATTTAAGAAAAAGAAGATCAAACTTATGAATATTAAAATGGCAACAAGTTAACAACTATGGACAACTGAATCTAAAAAAAACAAACTAAGCAAAGAGCCAGAACAGGAACAGAATCATAGTTATGGAGATCATTTAGAGGGTTATCAGCTGGGAAGGGCTACGGGAGAAGAGGGGGTGGGAAAGGTGAAGGGATTAAGAAATGTAATTGGTAGGTACAAAATAGACAGGGGGATGTTATAGAATAGTATAGGAAATGGGATAGTATAGGAAAAGAGTAGTATAGGAAATGGAGAAGTCAGAGAACTTATATACATGGCCCATGCACATGAACTAAGGCAGGAGATTGCTGGAGGGAATGGGGGTACTGGGTGGGGGGGAATAACTGTAATAGCATAATCAATAAAATATATTTACCAAAAGAATATTTCTCTATATAACATAAAATACAAAGATAAATTTAAATGTTATTTAAAATTAACATTTT